AAAACTTAGTCAGGTTGGATTTGTACAAGGAAAATACTATTTGAACTTTAAAAAATTGACATTATTTATTGATTCTATCGATCACAATAATTGAAGAGGTAGTGAGTTCGAATAAATATTGAGATCTACAATTAAATCAATAACAGTGATCGATAGAGTCAACAAATAAACAAACTATAATTTTTTAGGATCATATTATAATTTGTAAGGTTTGAATTACAAATGTTTTAGACTAAGTTATTATGTGATAATTTGCAATCAATGCTATGAATATCATAAAAATTGTAAATGATTTTTAAAACTTATAAGAAAAATCACAAAATTTGTATAAATTAACAAATTTAAACGCCTAAATGTGCAAACTAATCGCTTACCAGATACAAGGTGAGGAGCATCTACCAAGAAGGGTATAAGTTGGGGAGTATAAGCAAACTAGAAGTAGGGGTGTCAAACGTGTCGGGTTAAACGGGTGAAAAATATGTAAACCTGTATACGACACGTTTAATAAACGGGTAAAAAATTGAAACACGAAAACAAATCGTTTAATAAACGGGTAACACGACATGACTCGTTTAACACGTTTAATTTTAAACGAGTCAGGTTGGGTTAGGTCGGGTTAACACGGTAAACCACTCGTTTGACCCATTTATCAATTTACCACCCATTTAACACGATGAATCACTCGTTTAACTCATTTACCTGTTTGTTTAAAAATGCTATATAACTTTACAAAACAAACAAATTATCACAAATAAATATGATATTTAGAGATATCATACCATATTACAAAGTACAAACTACAATTCAAAATAACCAAATTTCACCAACAACCATATTACAAATCATAAATACAATTTGAAATAACACAATTACATCAAATCACAATCATATTACAAATCACAATCTCAAATAACCACAAATTCCATGATTCACAAAATCCTATGAAAGAGATCAAATCTCCACCTCCACGACAATGAGCAAATTCAACAACCAAATTCTCATGCCCTACACAAATTAAAATGAAATATTATATAACATTAATAATTAAATAGACTCATAACTAAATAAGTAACTATCATTACCTTTCTTTAGTCATGATCAATGATAGATATAGAATTAGAACATTGAGCAGATATAACATTATTAGAGTTAAATTGATATCACCCCCCAAAACACACAACAGACAAATTGATACATAAGAAAAAAATAAACAACATAAACTAAATTAAATGAGAGCACCAAAATTGACATATTGAAAATAAATAGTATATAAAATCACATGAGAGCACCTAAATTAAACAGTATATAAAAATAAACTGTATAAACTAAATTAAATGAGAACACTTAAATTAAATAAATAGTATAAACAAGCACACATTGACATCACATGAGAGCACCTAAATTAAATGGCTACCATCTTCCTGTCATAACATATTGAAGCAAAAGCAATAGGAGCTATAACTTCTTATCTTTTATCATTTATTATTTAAAACCAATGAAGAAAGAAAACAGAGACGAACATATACCACAATCACCCAATAATCCTAAAAAAATGCAGATATAGATAAGACTAGCAAACCAACTTGTGCTGCACGGACAGGTATATAAAATCTCTGCACTTGATCCCCAACAATAGCATTTCAAAATATATGCATTCAGCTTTATGAAGTTTGTTATCAGGCCAACATATCTTCCAGAACATTAACATTCACAATATTGGAATGAGAAACATTAACCCTTTTGTTGAAATTGTTTACTTTTTGAGACCCATTACAGTGTTCATTGATTTTCGAATTGTGTAAATCACTTTCTTGTATAACTTTCATGAACAGAATGCAGGACTGGACAAATGACGAAGATAAGTCTCAAACTTGAAGATGAAATATAGATGCAAGTTGTTCTATTGGTGTCAGTCGATCACGAAAAACACAGGTGAGGCAATACCGATCTAATATAGATCTAAATACAGACAGCTTGTGGATCGAAAAAGCTGAGGCAATACTGATCTAAATACAGATTTACCGTGGTTAGTGACTCAAGCTTCAATTGTTCAGTTCAGCGTAAATGGAGAGAGGAGCAACACCAAAGCTTGGAGAGAGAGAGAGAGAGAGAGAGAGAGAGTGGAGGGCCTGAGAGTGGAGGTGTAACAAGCAACACCAAAGTTTCAGAGGAAATTAGATTAGGGTTAGAAAAAAATAACTTCATATATTTTTTGTGTAGCTATCATTAAAACAAAAAATTTGGTTAATTTATTTTAAAATAATTATTAATTTATTATTATATTAATTTTATTTAAACGGGTACACGGGTTATAAATGGGTTGACATGTCTTACTCGAATACGACCTGTTTATTAAACGTGTTAAACAGGTCAACTCGTTTATCACCTGAACCCGTTAAGGTCTTACCCAAACCCGCTTAATCTATGTCGATTCGTGTCGGTTAATCGTGTTGTGTTGAATTTTGACAGACGCAACTAGAAGTACATAGACTTTGGTAGTGACTTTTAAGTTCTTTTTTTAAAATAAAAAATAATTTTTGTTAAAAAAGTAAAAGATGTTTAATTATTATTATTATTTTATAAAAGTAATCAAAATGCATCTTAATATATATAATTACTAGTTATTTTTTGTACCTAAAGACACGGAGTAATAAAAAAATAGTCAACAATAAGCATATTCATATTCACACTCAAAATTAAATTACAAAGATAGATGAAAGAGAAAATAATTTAAATACCAGTTATAATGGGGCCGAGTGGTGGTGGTGAAAGACGTTGATAGTTGTAATGGATGACGTCGACCGGTTGTGATAGTGGCAGACATGGGCGGTAATGGTAATGGTGGTAGTGGTGGTGGTGGTGGTGGTGGTGACAGTGGTGCTAAGGTGGTGGTGATGGGGGGTGAAGGTGGTGGTGGGATGGTAGCGACGACAGTGGTAGTGGGGTTGTTGTGGAAAAGGTAGTGGGGGTGGTGGTGGTGGTGGGGCAATGATGGTGATGGTGGTGGGGCAATGGTGGTGGTGGTGGTAGGGGTGGCGATAACGATGATGATGATGGTGTTGGTGGGAGTGGTGGTAGTTGAGATGGTGATGGTGGGGTGACGATAGTGGTGGTGGTGACCACGGTTGTTGTTGTGGGACGGTGGTGATTATTGTTGTGGAAGAGGTGATGGTGAGGTGACAACGATAGTGGTTGTAGGGGTGGCGGCAACGGTGGTGGTGTAATGGTGGCGACAACGGTGGTGGTGTAATGGTGGCGACAATAGTGGTTGTGGTGTGGTGATGGCGACGATAGCGGTGGTGGTAGTGGTGGTATTAGTGGTGGTAATGGGGGGTAGTTATGGTGGTGGGGTGACAATGATGGTGGTGGGACAATGGGGGTGGTGGTGGTGTTCTAAACACTACTTTTTTAAAAAAAAATATTTATGAAAAGTTGTAGGTTTTAGAAGAACTTTTAAAAAGTTAATCCAAACATACCTTTAAAAGCCTATTTTTTCAATTATATTTAAGGTGTTAATATTAGCCGTTGAATTAATTTTAAAGTAAAGTTTAAAGGTATCTTAACTGCGAAAAATAAAAGTTATTTTATTTATCTTTTGAAATTTAAATTGTATTATACTTTATTATATAGACTAGTTATTTCCCGTACCTGAAGGCACATAGTAATAAAAAAAATGGTCAACATATTTGTATTTATACCCAAAATCAAATCACAAATATAAAGGAAAGATAAATAAATTTAAACACCAGTTGTAATGAGGTGAACGGTGGTAGTGGTGGTGGGCGACAGTGGTGATGTTGGGAGATGGTGATGGTTGTGGTGGGTAAGGCGACGACCATGGTGGTGATAGCAGTCATGGGTGGCAATGGTAATGATGGTGGTGGATTTTGAGTGACAATGATAGTAGTGGCAGTCGTGGGTGACAACGGTGGTGGTGGACGACGGTGATAGTGGTTGGCAGTGGTGGTGGTGGGCGACGATGGATACTTTTAGGCAATAGTGTGATGGGTGGTGGCGAATGGCGGCAGTGGTAAGTGTGGTGAGCGTAGGTGACAGTGGATGACTATAATGATGGGCGATGACAGGTGAGTTCCATTAATTTTTTCAATGAAATTCCCCGATATGCATTTGAATTCGGTAGCATTTTTTTATTCTATGTTACTCTGCTATTGTTATTATTAGGGTAAAAAACACAAATGATCCCAGAACTTTGCCTCTAATTTCAATTAAGCCCCTAAACTAAATTTTGTTTCAATCGAGCCCTTCAACCCCTTAGTACATGAAACGACAAAAGAAAAACGTGCCTTTCAAGTGATTTGTTGAGGGGCATTTAAGGTAGATAATCTGAGAGTAAATTATACTGTATCCTCTAAAATATTACCCTTATTTTACTTTATGCCCTTAACTATAAAATTTTTTATATTATATATTAAAATATCAATTTTGTTTCATATCACTTCAATAAACTTAAAAATTTATCAAATGAGGTAAGAAAACTCCAAAGAGCTTCTCGCTAAGTGTTTAGTATCACTTTATTTTACCTCTTTTGCAATTAAATCGTTGCTGGGAAAAAAAATAAGATTGGCTAGAGGAAGAAAATTTAGAATTTAGGAAGGACAAAGTCATGAATAACTATTTTTCTTGATTTTTGACCTGCACATGTGTAATAGACAGTTGTTTATTGGCAGTACAGGTCATTTACATGCGCATTTACTATTAAAAAATTGATAACCGTTATCTAGTGGAGTGACATGAAACAAAATTAATATTTTATGGTGTAATGTGAGAAATTTTATAGTTGAAAGTACAAAGTGAAAACAAAGATCATATTTCAAGGGGATAAGGTGTAATTTGATGAGTTCTTCCCAAAATCAGACCTAGGTTTTGAGGAGAGAAATTCTAAGAGAAATTGGACAAATCTCCAAAGCCATTTCTGGATTTTGAATCGATTTCTGAGTTTTATGAAGAGATTGACCTAGATTTTGAATAGCTTTGGCATAATGGATTGGGCAGTGAGAGGCGATGATGACTGGTTCGATGAGGATCAAGTATATTGTAAGTAAATTGTTCTTGTTGATCCATTTGTGTTGGAAAAGCATTTTATTTCCTTGGGAGCGGATGATTTGGTGGGTGTTTCACTTTGTTTATGTTTGAAGCACGAGGGTTGTTCACAGAGAGTATATGTTTTCTGGTTGGTTCCTACTTCCTACAAAGTAGAGTAAAGTATGTTTAATAAAGCTTTTATTACATTTTAGTCTAAAGTACTAGTAAAATATTCAGCTGATTCCCTGACAAGGGCTGGTAAAAAATGCATATTAGTTGTTAACTACTTATCAAAGCAAAACACTGCATTGACCACTTGTTTTTATTTTCATATGTTTTGTTCAGTGGTGATGGTACAATTTTTTATTTGCATTCCAATTTTTTAATATTATAGCAGCAGATGGCGAAAGATTCAGTTTTAAAATTCACCATGGTGGACAATTAAAGGGAAGTCAGCAAGATTCTGTGTATGTTGGTGACAATGTGAATTACGTAGACAACATTGACCTGACAAGCTTTCTATGCATGAAATTAATTGCATGGTTTTAGAATTGGGTCACGAAGGATCATTACTTACTGGTATAAAGTACATGGTCTCGATATTCATAGGGGGTTAAGGATATTAGAGAAGGATAGTGATGTTATGTCACTCATTGAGTGGTAGCCAAAGCATAGGGTAATAGAAATTTATTTAAAACACAAAACTGTTGAAGATGTGTTTCAGGCTAAAGGCTGGTCACAAGGAACAATAGAACCCAAAAAGAAAGGAGTGGTCATTGAGGAGATATAGGAGCATCACCCCCAGACTGTTAGCTACTGAGGGTGGCGGGTCACAACCTGAACATGGCAATGCTACAAATGACTCTGTACAACCTGAACATGTCGTTGCTGCAAATGAGGCTGCACTATCTCAACAAGGTTGTGTCGTAGATGATGAGTCGGTAAAACCTCAAGATGTCAATGCTGCATATAATGTTGATGTATTTGAAGATGAAATGACACTAGAAGTGGTGGCTCAACAAACTCAATCTATAACACTGACTATGAACTCATATGATGAGCTGTATGAAACATTTGTTAAAACAATAAGTACAGGATCATCCCAAGTTGGTGGGCCATCCAAACCTACAGGATCATCCCAATCAGGTGATGAGGATTATATTCTGTCTGATGATAGCCTGGTGTCTTCATCTGATGAAGAAGGAGAAAGGATTAAATATCCTGAGTTTAGGCCTGAGAAAGATATGAAACACCCTGAATGCAAGTTAGGAATGAAGTTTGTAAATGCAGTGCAGTTCGGGAAGGCAGTTAATTAGCATTCAATTTGCAATAGGAAGGAAATCAGATTTATGAAGAATGAGAGACACAGAGTTTGGTCTAAGTGCAAAGAACCATGTGAAGGATGGCGTTTGCTTCAAAGATGCAAAAAGAGGACACACTGCAGATTAAAATACTTTATAATAAGCACACAAACTGTATTCTACAATAAGAATGTGACATCTAAATGGTTGTCTGAGGAATATGTGGATGAGGCGATGATCAATCCTAAATGGCCATTAGAGGCATTTAGACAATATAAAGAAGGATATTGTGGTCGGTGTGAGTAGGAGTCAAGTGAACGAGGGAAATTTTTTAGCCAAGGTGTTGATGGATGGAAATCATAATGAGCTGTACGTACAACTGTGGGATTATATTGTTGAGATCAAGAGAACAAATCCAGGATCAAGAATCATTGTTAAATGTGAAGAAAACAACATGAGACAACCAACCAATAGGTTCAAGAGGTTGTATTGCTGCTTGGGTCCATTGAAGAGAGGTTTTCTTGAAGAATGTAGATTTGTCATTTGTCTGGATGGGTGTTTCCTGAAGAGCCTTTGTCCTGGTCAATTGCTTGCAACAATTGGGATTGATGCCAATGCTGGCTTTTATCCCACGGCATATGCCGTTGCTGAAAAAGAAATCAAGCACACATGGAGGTGATTTTTGGATTTGCTCTGTGAAGACTTTGGAATAACATATCTAGGATCATGGACCTTCATGTCAGACTAGCAAAAGGTGATGCTTTGTATTTCTGTTTCAAGTTGTATTTCCTGTTTCAAATTGTATGTTATGTTTCTTTGTTATGGGGCTTGATTCCAGCACTTCAACAACTATTGCCCAATTGTGAAACAGTTATATCGGAGTGATGCCCAATGATCCAAATTACCAGTATGTCATTTTTTCTGTATATATCGTTAAACAGTTAAGCTATATCATTGTTTTTTGCTAAACAAGTTAATATGTAATCTGCAGGTGAGGAAGAGGAAGACGACACAACCAAGTGGTTCACAAAGCCAAGCTTAGGTGACTAAAACCAGTTGATTATTTTGTGTATGTTGGTGGGAAGTTAAGCTATTGTGATGTTCAATCGTCTCAACCAACCTGGGATCACTTGTCCGGAGTGCACACACATCGGTGGATCAAACCATAAGAAATAACCACACCCACCATTCTCATTATCCGAAGAATATCACAAATTAGGGCAACATGATGTCAAAATTAGGGCATTGTGACAGAAAACGTATTAAAATATAGGTGAAATTAGGGTTAAAAGTCCAATTCCAAATTCCCATATACTTACCATACCTTTAGGACAATTAAGAAACCTCCTCCCTGGATTATGATCAGTCCAATGAGTCTTCATAATTGCCTTTTTCCCATGGTCACATAATATTGACTGATCTTTCTCCATCTCTTTCCTCCTACTGCCTTTTTCACTCTCGTTCAATCATCTCTGTTGTGCTCTATTTTTTCAAGATAACAGCAGCAACTTCTGCTTTTCTCTATATATGGAGCTTTGCAAGTGCAAGTCATGTGCATTTTTTTGGAGGGAAAGCGTTGCCGCAACGTCTTCCATTTTATCTACCTTAAATGGCCCTGAACAAGTCACATGAAAGGCACATTTTTCGTTTGCCATTTGTTTTCATAGAGGGAAGCAGATGGAGGGGCTGAATTGAGACAAATTAATAGTTCAACGGCTCTCGATTGAGACAAAATTTAGTTTTGGGGCTTAATTAAAACTAGAGGCAAAGTTCAGGGGCCGTTTATCTTTTTTACCCTGTTATTATAATACTAATCTGTCCAGTATTTCATGCGGTTGATACATTCTGCAACACCGTGACCGATACTTCTCAGTTTTTTGTGAGTCGATTGTCGATACTACGCCCTTCAAGAGTGGTGATGCAAGATCCACTGGAGTAGCAAATCCTGGATTCTGTTCCCTTCAAAATTATTCTGAAGTATGCTTGTAGCAGGCATTGCAGATGTTGAAGTGAAAAGTCTGATTGCTGCAGTTTCTTCTAGAGGGTAAATGTTTTGATGATGATTTTTCCTGGTTGCTGGATGGTGAAATTGGTTTCAAGCAAGAGCATAGTGGATGTACAATTCATACTAGACTAATAGGATTCTTATTTCGTTCTTTCTTGAATCTGGTGGCCTGGTTTCAATTTGTTTTTCAATATCCAGAATATTGTGTTTCAGTGATTTTTCCCTTTGCTTAATAACTTTCATAAATAAAAATTCGATTTATTTGCCAAAAAAAAAAAAAAAGATTTGATGTGAATGAAAGACTATTATTTTACTTACCCAAAAAAAAAAAAGACTATTATTCTATTTTTTCTCTCCTACTCGGAAATTTGATTGAAAATCATTGGAAGCCTAGCAAATAAAAAGTTAAATTAATCACTGTTTATTTTATTTTTTCTCCTGTACCCGTCTAACCAACGAACCAAAAGTCCGCTTTAAACAAACCAAAAAAAGGAATTTATTTTATTTTATTTTATTTTATTTTATTAATTAATAGTATTTTTGTTTCTTAAAGTATAGATTTTTTGTCAGATTAGTTCTTATTGTATTAATTTTATCAATTTGGTCCATAAAGTATTCAATTCGTGTCTCTTTGGTTGCTAATTAGACAATCCATCAAGTTTTTTAATGAAAGTGATCACATATTATTTTTTTTGACGATATAATGTGTTTAGCACGTGATCATCAGTTAAAAAATTAACGGCAGTCTGTCTATTTAGAGACTAAAATGACACGAATTGAATACACTAGAGACAAAAATTGATACAAAGAGATTAAACTGACAAAAAATATATATTTTGGAGATAAAAAATACTATTAATCCTTAAGAGAGAGAGAGAGAGAGAGGGGGGGGG